TAGGATGTCAGAAGGGTTTCCACAAGTGTCAAAGTCCAGTAGCAGAATAACATAATAATATCAAGCAGCCTAGGCCAGTAACATTTCAAGGAAATGCTGATACCAGAAAATTTATAACATCATCATGTAAAAAATAACATTTACTAAAAGAAAATTATTTGGTTTTATTTACACTGCAAAAACATTTTCCAGTCACATTACAATAGGCTTAGTGAGAGAAATTTTTGGCATTGTTCTTTAAACTAGTGGTCAAAAGGTTTGGAATGGCTGCTTTAAGGTAAACATTGAAAACTTCTGGATGATTTGATAAGAGAAAAAAATGGTGACATCATTGAGAAGTTGCTATAAAATATTTACAAGATACAATGTCAGAATGAGTTTTATATTATTCAACAAATGTAAAATATGAGACATTAGTATTAGGCCTATTATGTTTTTAAACACTACATTCTTTACCTAGCCCCTGTCAAGAATAACAATGAAACATGCTATTGGCAATGGATATTCCAAATATAGTATTATAGTGTTATTATACACTCTTCTAATTCTTGAAAATCCCTAAGGGACTACATAAAGAATGTGGTGTTTAAAAACACAGTAGGCCTAATACTAATGTCTTATGACAAGTCTAACTGTAATCATTCTTTGCCAGTTTGTAAAAGGTGTACAAATAACAAATGTAAAATATAATCTCAAAACTTAGATGTAACATTGGGGAAGTTAACATTGCTCTTTATAATTTTTTGCAGATATTTTAAGGTAATGTAATGTCTTCTGTGCTGTATCAGTTTTGAGGGTGAACATATTTGTAAACATTTATAGACAGTATAATTATTCAAGAATTGTTAAAATACACTTGTTGCAAGTATAGAATCAACACGTATCTAAGGTACTTTTAGATGGTGAACTGATACATATTAGTATTATATTCAATTAATGCTCGGTATATGAACAGGTTTGTTGCTTAAGGTTGGCAAAAATGAGTTTCTGAAAAGAAAAATGATTGATGAAGTATATGGAACAAAAGTCAACATAGTGAAACTAGCAAGATGAGATACAATACAGTCATAACTGTTATAATTGTTGAAACTTGTTAAAAATAAACTACATAAGCTAGTGTTATACATGGCAAATTCATGTATATAGCTTCTATGTGTACAATTATATTATTGCTTTAAAGAATAACAACATTAATAACCTGTAAAAAAATTTACTTCAATTTCGTGTTTCTCTCATGTTCTAGATAGCTTTTAACTTAATAAATACATTTTTCAGTTATTAATATAAATCACGTTTTCTACATATATTTAATGAGAAAAATGCATTGCATTAACTTCAAAATGTTTTCTTTCAAACACAATTCAAGATAAGATTGAATCCTACCACTGACTTTTCACACCTCAAAAATTCAATCAAACCACTGATCTTTCACAACTATAAAATTCAATCAAACCACTGATCTTTCACAACTATAAAATTCAATCAAACCACTGATCTTTCACAACTATAAAATTCAATCAAA